TTTTTAATGTCATTTATAATAAGGTTTTATAAGATTTATCACAAAACTCTAATGACAGTTTTCAACGCTTTATCCAAATACAATTCAGATTTTATTTTCAATTCAAATTACAATTTATTTACATATTCAAACACTGGTTGGAATCACAATTCAAACCAAATTAATAAATTGAATCGTTGAACCAAACAAAGCCTTAGTGGTTCATCACTGATTAACTCGATGATTCTTCACTATTAATCAATATCAGTTAACAATTAACTAAAATCAATGAGTAATTTAATCAATTTTAATCAACAAATTATAAGTTTATTAATGATAAACTATTGATGAATTATTAGTCAATCACTGATTGATTGTCGGTCAATTACTGATTGATTCCTTAAAAAACAATCATTTTCATAAAATAATTAAAGTTCAACTATTTTCATAAAATAGAAAAAAGTCAGCCATTTATGAAAAACAACAATTAAAAAATGTCATTTAGCTAATTTTTCTAACTTTACACGTGAAAAAACCTAATTAAGAATAACACTAAGGTCTCGTTCATTTCACCGATTTGAGTTTTCAATTTTAGGTTTTTACAGTAAAAAGCTCTCAGAAAATGTCACATCTAACTTTTTCTGCTACAGTGAAAAGTTTTTAGAAAATGTCACATCTCATCTCAAATTAAAAATTAGAATTCACGAAGTGAACGAGGCCTAATAATCCATTTAACCTACATTCTTGCTCAGTCTCAAGCCCATGCACAGGGGTGAATGTGAGCAAGAGGAAAAAGAGACTTGATTTTTAAATTCAAAGAAAAATGATATTTATTCCACTTACCCATTTAGTAAGACTCACCTCATGTGAGTAGCGGGTTTTAAACCTGAAGGGATGAATCAAAGTGCTTTTGTTTAGTTATTTCCTTAATTACTGTAAGTTGTTTTCTGACTTGAATGTTTCAAGAATCCTCATTCCGGAGTTTCAGTCAACGTTGAGGATTAAGAATTAAGCGGGTTAGCAGTTTTCAAGATTTCATGCGGATTTCACCTTGACAATGGATGCTTGACTCTGGGAAGCTAGGATCAAAAAACTTGAGAGACTTGTGGCAATCACTGGGCCCGTTTAGTTTGCTGATTCGAGTTGAGATGTGATTTTATGAGAGTTTTTTACTGCAACAAAAAAATTAGATATGACTGTTTCTGAGAGTTTTTTACTGTAGTAAAACCCGAATTCTAAACTCAAATCGGTGAAATGAACGGGAACAAATAATCTGATGCAAATAATACATGTGATGATGCTGAGGCAACAACAATCTGACAAGGCTTTTTTTTTATGATCAAAGAAAATCAAAGGAAGATCGATTGGCAACTAGAAGAGAACATAATAATGGACATGTTCGCTCCCTAGACACTTCCTAGTTTTCTGATCGTAATTTTGTTGGGGCAGTTTAGTTGATTACTAAAAAGGAACAAAATTCGTTTTGATTTCTAACATGATAGAGTATGAGTTTATTTATTTGTCTCATAACTAACGTTAACCAGAACATGATTCCTAAAGTTCTGCAACGCAAAACCCATGACCAAAAGCATTTTCTAGGGACAGATTAAGTGTTGCCCAATTAGGTTAGTACATTAGTACAGCTGAGCACAATGGGATATCATTAGGTATGTGCATAGTAGAAATTAGAATAGTTATATAACAGACATTTTCTTTCATATGCGCTTACTCCTGGGTAGCTATTTATGGAAACTGATTTTTGGCAACCTTGTACTGCAACTAAAATCACAAAAATGGTTAGTATGGAATGACTTCTATTATGCTCTAGCTTGCAATTAAAGGATGCATTACGCAATTCTGTTTTTAATAAGGCTCAAAAAGTATACACGAAACTTGTACTGACCAAATCGCACAAATAGCAAATATAGGTCCCCTAGTCCAGTACGCAATGTCACTTCTTTTTGCAAATAAAAAAAGTCCATGCATGTTTATGTATATACATGAAAAAGCAGAAGGTGAAAAAAATGAAAAAAAATTATAGAATTGGTACTCTAGTCCTTTCCAACCTTAAATAAATAGAGGGGAAAAAACATGAAAATAGTTGGAGCGTTGTAGAAAGAAGAAGAAGAAGAAGAAGTAAAAAAAGGAAAAAAAAAAAAAAAAAAAGATAGTTGTTTTGAAGAACAGAACATGACTAGAAAAAGAAAAAGAGAAACCAGAATATGCATCTATTTATCTTTTGTTTTCCTGCTTCAAACATTCATGCGGTGCCATTCCATCAAAAATCAAAATTTTAATATATGATTTGACTAAGTGAAAACAAAAGATTGAAGAAGCCAATATTGTAGCGATTCTTTCTTTCCTTTTGGTAATTAATACAGTAACTACAGAAAGGTAATAGCATTGAGAAAGTGCTAAAGAGTATAATAAAGAGGAAAAACCAGCACAAGGGCTAAGAAATAACCCACCATTTAAAAAAAAAAAAAAAATTGCTCTTTGGAGAGCTTTAAGGTCTTGTAGGGTGGTTGTTATGATGAAGAGGGTCAGGCCCTGTAGGAACTTGCCTCTCCGACTCTTCATCCACGCCAATAACTGAATCTCCATTGCCAAATATATCCACTCGGTTCGTTAGTCCCTTTTTGAAACAAAAACCAAGAAATTCTTATGAGGGAAAAAGAAAGAAGTTTTCATTTTTAGTTTTTGAAAATAAACGATGCAGAAAGGTACCTGCAGTGTGGCCTTGTTTTCAGCCATTGTCGTTTCTGCTTGGAAACCTGCAAATGTGGAAAGCGAAATGCGTTAAGAAACAATATTAATATGCAGGGAAAGCTATATGTGTGTGTGTGTGTGTGTATACATAGGGTGAGAAAAGAACTCACGAGGTGGAGAAGATTGAAGAAAAGGCAATGAAGCCACCATTAGAATGACCACGACGGTCGAAAGCCCTGTGATAAACGCCATTTTTTATCTCTTGAGTCTCTGAAACCAGCCAGCTTTAGAGAGATGAGAGAGAGAGAAGGACAGATGTAGGGGGGTGAGAGCAATACACATAGGAATATATATATACATAGATTGAATATTTTACCTATATATATATATTTTCGAAACACTCGCCTTATAGCGCCTCCGACCCAATCATTACAAATTAAAGCCTTTGCTATATGCTACGAGGTTGTATATATATATATATATATATATATATAGAGTGAGAGAGAGAGAGAGAGACCCGACCCGTATTAGGAGGTACATGGTCGTGCGGAGGGAGCGTGAAGGGAAGAAGTGGAGATGTCTGTGACTGTGACTGTCCAAATGTTAGTGGGAGAATGATCACCAGCAGCACAGGCACAGGGGACGTCAGAGCAATATACATAGGAATATATATATACATAATTGAATACTTTACCTATATATATATATATTTTTCCGAAACACTCGCCTTATAGCGCCTCCGACCCAATCATTACAAATTAAAGCCTTTGCTATATGCTACGAGGTTATATATATATATATATATATATATAGAGTGAGAGACCCGACCCGTATTAGGAGGTACATGGTCGTGCGGAGGGAGCGTGAAGGGAAGAAGTGGAGATGTCTGTGACTGTGACTGTCCAAATGTTAGTGGGAGAATGATCACCAGCAGCACAGGCACAGGGGACGTCTATGCGACTGCGAGCGTGGTGATGAGTCATCAGTGTCTGTCGTGTAGTCGTGTGGACTCTGTCTGTGTAGCAAACAAACAGCCAAACAACGGACGGACGGTTCTTAATTAATCTTTGACCAATGATTTCCCATGGCCATGGGGCCCATTTCTGAATTACGACCACCTCCCTCATTTGCCGCCGAGTTGTCATTGAAATTCTCATTTACGATTATGCCCTACCCATGGTGACCAAGGACAAGAGCGTAATTGGACAATTCCGAAGACGGGGAGACAAGAGCGTAATTTACGAAACGTGCCGTTAAGATAATACCATCACATCACCGTCTTCGGCTTTGCTTTGCTTTCCTGGCATCTTTCACGCTTCAATCGTTTTCGCAGAAAACCCAAATATACAATTTTGTATTTACCATTTGCTCTCTTATTCAGAAAAAAAATTTTCTTTCCCTAAAAAAAAATGAAATTAATCGTTTAAAATGACGCAATAATCTCTTTTTATTGCACGCATTATGCATATAACATAGATTTACTGGTATTCGCCAATTACAGATTTACAGCTGATTTATCACGACTAGCAAGAAAGAATTGCTTTATCACGCCGTTCAGAAAATATCCCTGTTCATTTTGTCGATTCGAGTTTAGAATTCGAGTTTTGTTACAGTAAAAAATTTTCAGAAACAATCACATTTAACTTTTTTACTACAGTAAAAAACTCTCACACAAAATCACATCTCAACTCAAATTACAAACTCGAATCAGTGAAGTGAACGGGTATATACATCACGAGTTCAGGTACAGATAAATTATCCACCTTGCTTAACGGAAAGAGGAATATTGGGTTTGAGAATGGATTAGTGAAAATATGTCTTACAACTTTTATCTGATAGTTACTTAACTAGAGGAGCAAATGGATTGGATGAAGGATTCAAAACTCTGCAAAGATGTTCAATTTTAATCGTTCTAAAATTACAATAGGATTCAAGGAGGGAATTCACACTGATTATAATTATGAGAGAAAATCTCTCTTATTTTTCTTTCTTAAAGGTAATTGTATTCAAAATTAAAAGACTACACACTAATACTCGAATGACCTCGAAAATCTCTCTACTTACCTAGGCGTTAATGTCAAACCTATTATTCTAGTTTGATTTCAAGTAAACCCGGTGAAATCTCATGAAAACGGAACAACAGAAACTGCCAGCCTGCTGACAGGGAAAGCAACCAATCCCATTCTACCCCGCATATTTTGTAGAAACTAATCCAAAATTAACAAATTGAGGCTAGAGGAATTGTAACTAATCCAAAATTATCAGTGGAAATTTATACATTTGACCATAGAGAAAGGAAAACGTAATGAGCATATTTATCAAAAATCACCGTATGATAAATTATCATAACTTTTCCATTTATCCAGTTGAAACAAATTGGTTTATTTACATGAACCCCATTAAGGGCTTTCCTATTAACCATAAGTGGGGCAAACTATTAACACAAAAGAACTCTGATTTTGCCTAGTTGTTTGCAAAATCACGAATCCTGTGAAACCAAGGCTCATGACTTACAGTCCTGAAATGCCAACATGACAAAAGACTCATGCTGCTAATACGTCATTAGATTAGTGAGGATGCCCACGTCAGCAATGAACCCGGTAATTTGCAATCTGCATAAAGAATTAGTAAATAAAATCATCAGCGGTAACACCAGAACTCTAAATACAATTTTCAATAATATGAGAAGCAAGCAAGCGAAGAGCGTGACTTACGATCTATCTCTGAAGTATGGAATCTAACAACTTATGCTCCGAAGTAATGAATCAACTCTTCATCGCGCAAAAGATCGTCAAAAGAACCTGTGGCATCAATTGCAAAATCGAGGTTGAGGGGGCTACTGAATCCTCCAAAATCTAGCGATAGACTATCAATTGGAGAACCAAAGTGAGGATCGACAGGTCTATCTTGCTCATTACTGACATAAAAGGGCAAGTCTCCACCACTAATCTCACTACTGTTTCTATGTACTGTTGGGATTTGGACACCATCTGCCACCTTAACATGATGCTCATTAAATGCAATCTGAGAATGCTGCCGGTCATGACCAGGACCATAATCTACAGGTGGATTATAGAAATCAGAAGTATTCCCATGATGAATGACGTTGTTTTGCACACCATGATAATGCAATGCTGTTTCGCCCACTTCCCTTCTGTGTATAGAAATTACATTATCCAAAGGTAAAGAAAAGAAGCTGTTGTTATCAGATTCCGGCAACTGAGCTTGGACATCAATGTCCTTCTCCATTGGCCGTAAAGCTGTTATCGGTGAAGCTGACATTGGCTCAACTTCTTGTTGGTTGCCATCTGTATGGAACCCAATCAACCGTGCATCTTCAGTGTGATTAATGTCGGGCAAAGTGTTTCCTGGTTCAGTAGGTAGATGCTCATTTTGAGATGGCTGAGGCAACCGTGCATCTTCAGTGTGATTAATGTCAGGCAAAGAGTTTGATCCTCCACGAAGTCTTTTTCTCCTCCTGGGTTCCCTTTCCCCTTGCTCCTTATCTTGGACACGTTTAGAATTGTTATTCCGCTGTTTGCCTGAAGGCTCTACATCTATAGGTTGACTTCTCCTCTCATCTTTAGATGAAACAGAACCTAAGCCATCATCAGTGCCATCAACGTCATAGTCGCTGCCACTATTAGCAGTTGCTTGCTTTTCACCTAGTCCTGCTGGTGGCATCTCTGTTATCCCAGATGTCCCATTATCACAACTAGGCTGCCGAATGAGGGCTTCCTCTCGGGTCAAAACTCCTAACCAGATTGCACTCTCTTTTGCTGTCATCTTATCCTGTAAGCACTTAGACTGGCGCACATGTCGCCTTATCTTTGCAATATCTGGTGACATATGCTTTATTACAGCCGTTAAAACTCCGACTTTCCATATCTTCTTCAAATCGTGTGGCTTCTTATAAGGGGGACTCTGACCATGCTGCAGCCCCAATTTTACCCACCAATCTTCCTTCCCGGTTGGCCACCAAGGTGGTGGGACTTTCTTTTCTAATGGGAACTTCCTTTGAGGAGGGTCACAGTGTTGCATCAAAGAAGACAAAAGAGAACCCAGAGTAGCATCTTGCAGGTCTTGGAGAATGCTCTGTGGGTTTCCATTTTGACTATTATCTGCCTCAGACATGGCAAAACACTCGGCTTCGTACTTGGCTATGGCTGCAGGCCCATTTTTATCAAACTTCACCTTCTCCTTCCACCAAGCTCTAATGTTATCTGAAGAACCGCTAACAGGCTTTCCCTTCTCAGGAATGATCCCATACACGAAGCCGCGAGCTTTGCACACTTCCATCAGCTTCAACATATACTTGAGAATGCCATCTTGGGCTCTCGACATTTTCTTTCTGCGTGCCTGATCAGACGTCTGCTTTGGCTTCTGCTTTTCAGCAGCCTGTTGGGCTTCAAGCTTCTGCCTTTCCTTGAGCCTTTTTAGTTTTATCCGATCCTTCCACATTCGTCTCTCCAATTCCTCTGCCTCAATCTCCTCATCACTAACATCCTTGTCTGCTATATCTTCACAGCGTAAGTCTTCAACTTCTATGTCTGAACCGTCAACCAATGAGTCATAGGCCATCGGAAAACCTCTGATTCAATCAAATTACAATTACCCTTCAATTTCCTTTGTGTTTTTCCGGTCTCCAAATTACAGAACACTCACCTTAAAAAAGGGGATAGTCGTATCAGTCTCAAATAATAAAGGTCTATTTTCTTGTGTAGAAACAACCAACACTCAGTACAGAAACAAATTATTTCTTTCCTCCAACCACAAACAGCCATTTTTACGAATAACATACAAAAGTATATACCAAAAGGGTATAGCTTTTACAACAAATGAAATTAATATACGAGGCTTAGAATTCTAAATTAATTCAAAAATAAGAGCACCTCTCAATAAGAGAATAACGAAAATACTGTACGCATTACAAAATTAATGATTAAGTCGTGTAAAAATTCAAAGTACCTATTGAAATGATTTCAGAATACAGGTAAATTGTCTCCAAATACAATAAATTAAATGAACCTAGAAATAAATAAATAAAAATTCAGCAATTCTTCAAGTGATTCGATTATTCAATACATAGATAATCCAATACAACTGAAGGATTGAGTATTTTGTCCTAAACGCCCAAATAGATGAAAAGAGAAAGAAAAAGAGAAACTTGTTACCGATTATCAGCTGAAATTCCTTCAAATTCTCGCATCTAATTCGCAAAATTGTGAATTCGCTTGAGACAATTAAAAAAACCCTAAGAGATTTTCACTTTGTTTGTGTTTGGTTTCTTCTCATGCTCGACCTCCAAAAGAACCTGACGACACGAGAGAGAGAGAGAGAGAGAAGCGAATCCAATAAAACAAGAGATAAACATTATTTAAAACAAACAAACAAACAAACAAAAAGAGATCAGAAAAAACCCAAAAAGGTTCTTAGTACCGTATCGGAGAAAATGGTTAGAAATCGAAAATACGCCCGAGAGAGACAGAGAGAGAGAGAGAGAGAGAGGCGGGCAAAAGGCCTTTGCAGAGGACACGGACGATACCAAATCAGAGTTGCCAACACCGAGGCGTTATCGTCTGCAACGCACTTTATGAAAAATCAATTATTTGTTTTGGAGCGGCTTCTCAAATTCGTTTTTTGACTTTTTTCCATTATTATCTTGGGAGTTTTTTTTTTTTTTTTTTTTTTTTTTTTTTTTTTGGGGGTTTTTTTTTTTTTTTTTTTTTTTTTTTTTTTCCTGGAACAGTTTAATAATTTTTATAGTATTCATAAAAAAATATTTTAAAATAGCACAAATTTTGATTATTTTATTCTTGTAAATATCACTTTGACTGGTAATTATTTTTTGTAATTATAATAATTAGCAGTCGTAATAGTGTATTTTTATAAGTACTCATGATAATTATTTGTAATAGTTATTGGTAAGCTATTGACAGAAAAAAAAATCTTTCAACAAAAAAATGAAACGGAAAAAACTATCAAACTCAATGTTACGCAAGTTCCGTTCATTTCGCTGATTCGAGTTTAGAATTTGGGTTTTATTACAGTAAAAAGCTTTCACAAATAATTAAATCTAACTTTTTTACTACAGTAAAAAACTCTCACATAAAATCACATCTCAACTCGAATTAAAAACTCGAATCAGCGAACTAAACGGGCCCTTAGTAGTACTATGAAAAAATTGAATCTAGTTCATTTAGGGGGGAAAAAAACTCAAATATGTTATTCACATAATCTTGCAACTAATGGAGTATAAAGAATCCCGTCCAAATTAATTGTTCCAAGTAGCAAATTTTAGCATTTTAGGTAATTAGAACATGTTTTTCTACCTCTTTATATTATCTTTTTAAGGAAAGTATCCTCGCCACTCAATACTAGGGGGGCCACTGAATATTCATACATACCACTCTTAAATGTCCTAAGATTAAATTTTTTTTTTTTTTTTTTATAAGTAGTTCAATCTTTTCCAGCTCACCCTGTAAAAAAAACTGTTTTTGAAATATTCAATCATCTTAAATGAAAAGATAATCAAAATCTACTCTTTAGCATTCATATAAAATAAAAGTTTGCAACATAATTAATTCAGGAATTAATTTGCAGTAGTACACTACAATATTATCTTATCAGTTTAGTATTTTGAACTGTTGTATTCTACGTTATTTGATTATAATATTTCTTCAATACACTTTTTTTTTTTGTATTGAAAATAATTGTACTACGCACGTCAATTTATACACGCACACACTGCAACATTTGTCATACATTCCAATTTTTCCGCAAAAAATTAATTCTAACATTACGTGGTAAGATTATTAGAAGAAGCTCGTGAATCCATGATCAATGGAGCTAATTAAGATCAATCTTTACTTTTTCTTTGTATATCAATTAATCTTTTTTTTTTTTTAAGGAAATGTATCAATCAATTAGTTCATACATAATAAATATTTTGAAATCAGACTATTATACACTTCGATTTATCTATTTTCAATTTTCAAAATATTATACACCAGTTTGATTTATCTATTTTTAATTTTCATAATATTATACACCAGTTCGATTTATCTATTATCAATATTCCAAACAAAACAAAATTGATCTATTCTGAAATTAAGGACAGTATTTTGCCAACTAGTTTTCTTTTTTTATTTATCTGTTATGTGTTGATACCGCTCTTGTTATTGTTGTTAGCTTGATGATGGTTTGATTATATTTATTTCCAAGGGACACCCATTACACCAATGCTCCTCCTATCAACTTTCATCGTTTTACTAAAAAACACTTACATTGGCCCTTAAAAAAGATAAAAATTACATTGACAATATCACCCAATGGCGATCCTAAGTTTACAACAATAACAATGACAATAATAAATATAAGAATAACGAGAGATGAAACTCAAAGACCCGATAAGAATAAGGTACTATGTGGATTTTAGAGCTGTTGACAATTCAATGCAAACGTTTCCTTTCATTTTCATTAATATTCGGCACAAAATGAGGCATTGATTTCGAATCATTCCACGTCATAATCCTCTAAGATTTATTAACAGATCCGTTCAGTTTGCTAATTCGAGTTTTTAATTCGAGTTGAGATGTGATGTTGTGTTAGCTTTTTACTGTAGCAACAAAGTTAAATGTAACTGTTTCTGAGAGATTTTTACTGTAACAAAGTTCAAATTTTAAAATCGAATCAGCAAAATGAACATGGCCTATACGTCCCCAATCCCTTACGCCATAATTCCTTTACTTTTTCCTAAAGGACCATAATTCCTTACTTTTGAAACAAAAAAAATAGTAAAAGAAACTTTTAACTAATCCAAACAATAATATAATATTATACATATACAAATTAATTTTTAATGATTACCGGTTACGTCTGTTTCGTAATTACTTATTAAATATAAAAATTTAATAATGTATATTCATTGGCAGATAAATATTATAGTAATTATTAAAATAACATGTTCATTAGGAAACATAAATAATTATTTATCATCCTTCTTTGAAATTTTAACGTGAGGATATGACATTGACGAGACAAAAACGAGTCTACCAGAAATTGAGAAAAAGGAAAAATCATGTGTGTGGCACTTAATAATCATTTTTAAGTATAGTATGATAAAACAATAATGATAAACAAAATATACATCATCTCATAGCTCTAAAAAAAAATTGTTTGATAAGTTAAAACTACTCTGTTAATTATATAGTTTACTTATTGATATCAAGTTGGTATTTTTTTTGTCCTAACAAGTTGTGCTCAGAATAAGTTCCATGTGCAACATGCTACTCCAATCACTATCCTCAGGTTTCTACAATTGAAATGCTCCTTCAAGTGCAAGATGTGTTACGATTGTTATTGTAACACTATATGGTCCGTTTAGTTCGTTGATTCAAGTTTTTAATTCGAGTTGAGATGTAATCCCGTTCAGTTCATTAATTCAAGTTTTTAATTCGAGTTGAGATGTGATGTTGTGTGAGAGCTTTTTACTGTAGCAACAAAGTTAGATGTGACTGTTTCTGAGAGGTTTTTACTGTAACAAAATTCAAATTTTAAAATCGAATCAGCGAAATGAACATGGCTTATACGTCACCAATCCCTTACGCCATAATTCCTTTACTTTTTCCTAAAGGACCATAATTCCTTACTTTTGAAACAAAAAAAATAGTAAAAAAAACTTTTAACTAATCCAAACAATAATATAATATTATACATATACAAATTAATTTTCAATGATTACCGGTTACTTCTGTATCGTAGTTGCTTATTAAATATAAAAATTTAATAATGTATGATATTCTGATAGATAAATATTATAGTAATTATTAAAATAACATGTTCATTAGGAAACATAAATAATTATTTATCATCCTTCTTTGAAATTTTAACGTGAGGATATGACATTGACGAGACAAAAACGAGTCTACCAGAAATTGAGAAAAAGGAAAAATCATGTGTGTGGCACTTAATAATCATTTTTAAGTATAGTATGATAAAACAATAATGATAAACAAAATATACATCATCTCATAGCTCTAAAAAAAAATTGTTTGATAAGTTAAAACTACTCTGTTAATTATATAGTTTACTTATTGATATCAAGTTGGTATTTTTTTTGTCCTAACAAGTTGTGCTCAGAATAAGTTCCATGTGCAACATGCTCCTCCAATCACTATCCTCAGGTTTCTACAATTGAAATGCTCCTTCAAGTGCAAGATGTGTTATGATTGTTATTGTAACACTATATGGTCCGTTTAGTTCGTTGATTCAAGTTTTTAATTCGAGTTGAGATATAATTTTATGTGAAAGCTTTTTACTGTAGCAAAAAAGTTAGATGTGACTGTTTATGAGAGTTTTTTACTGTAATAAAACTCGAATCGGTGAAATAAACGGAGTCTAAGTTTATAACCTATTTATAACACTATAACATTATACAATTATTATTTATAATACTATAACCTATTTTCTCGTAAGCCATGCTACTATACATCATCACGGCGTTTTTTATTTTTTATTTTTTATTTTTTTTTCAAACAGTCACCAATTCACATGTCAATGATCTATTAAACATAATACAAGGACTCCTACAATTTTATACAACGTGTCAGTTATATTTGCTATTAGTGACCAATAGCATTTTCAGTACATTAGCATGTCATTAGTTAGCTTGTTCCAATAATTGAATATGAATTATCCAGTTACTTTATCTCATTGCGACCTTACATGGCGTCCTAATTAACATTGTTATGAGACTTATTAATCGGCGGTCATTATCACAATTTATTCTCAAAAGATACCTCCAATCTAATCTGTTTTGCTGAAGTTGCTATAAATTCATGGGACATTCATCCTCAAATGTGCTCAAAATAATTTGGAATCGTACCATGATGAGACGGTATCGCATCTGCATAATAATATAAATTGTCTACTTTTTATATTCTTTCAATATTTGACGAGACTGGCCAAGAAAGTGTGATAACGCAACAATCTATCAAAATGACATTTCAAAAGAAAGAGGAATTGCATCAAATTAACATAGAACTCAGAAATTATCATATAGAAATTCTAAGAAACAAAATTAATTATAATATGTTATTCCTTTTAGGAACTTTCTTCAATAGGATTTTTTTATACGAATTTAACGGCTGAAAGTAGAGCACTTCTGAGAGTTTATTTTTTCCGGTGTTACCGGACAAACTCCATTCCTTTTAAATTGATAATAATGATTTGTGATCGATAGCATTTGTGTAGGGCTGGCAATTTCAGACACGACACGATATACGAATTTAACGGCTGAAAGTAGAGCACTCCTGAGAGTTTATTTTTTCTGGTGTTACTGGACAAACTCCATTCCTTTTAAATTGATAATAATGATATGTGATCGATAGCATTTGTGTAGGGCTGGCAATTTCAGACACGACACGATAAAACGATACGAAAATGACACGAGATAAATGAGTTTGGACCGCACGATTATTAATTGGGTCGTTAACGGGCTGACACAAATAACACGAAAATAAATGGGCTGAATTCGTGCCAGCCTGTTTAACATGCTTAACCCGTTTAGTTATACCGACTGTTATCGGGCTGACACGACCCGGTCCGACCCGTTTATGAAGCCCATATATATATATGTGTGTGTGTGTGTGTAAACTTTCTAGAAAGAAACTCTTTTCTATTATTTTCAGAATAGTAAAAAATAAGAATAAATAGGCTAAGGAATATATATATATTAGACAAAACTCTAACTCAGTCTCTTAAAACTAATTTTGATTTTTAGAGCATAGTTGGGCATTCAACCCCAAGGCTTAAAAAAGACATTTTACTATATTTATTTTTATGTTTTATGCACTTAAACATTCAAATGTTTGGTTATGTTTTCAAACTTATTTAAATGTACTTGGCTATGTTTTCAAACTTATTTGGATGTTTGGTAATTTGTATGTTTTGAAACATATATACTTGATAATCTAGTAGTATCATATATATGTGTGTGTTTGATAGTTTGATATTTTAATGTGTGTTAGCTATTATGCATGATTTTATATTAAGTAGTCATTTAATATAGTTTTGAATACAATATAAAATTTCACTATTTTTGGCTAGTTGGGTCATAAACGTGTTTTTTTCGTGTCGGCCCATCACGGCACGTTTAGTAATCGTGTTTGCGTGTCGTATCGTGTTAACCGTCTTATTAGCGTTTCGTGTTCGTATTTGGATTTCTGACACGTTTATTAATCGTGTCGTGTTTGTGTTCACTATAATCGTATCGTACCGTAATCGTGCCGGTCCGAACACGACACGCAAACACGAATTGCCAGCTCTACATTTGTGTCTATCACTCGTCATGATCTAAGAGTCTGTTTATAATATATATTTAAACAATAATTCTTAATTTTAATGTTTAAAATTCAAATTTTTTATAAAAAAAAATTAATGTAACATAATCAATAATTTGAGTTTGAATATACGAAATAAATGAACCCTAAGTAAAAGCCGGGTGTACTAAAGTCTAAAGATCACGGTCTTAATAAGTTTTCATTTTCCTTCAAGCAAAAAAAAAAAAAAAAAAAACACCATTTTCAATGAGAGATAATGACACAATACCAATCACCGCAACAACAATGTCGTAGTTTTTTTTTCTGTTTTTTTTTTTTTGGTGAAAACTGAAAACCAGCTCTTTGAGGAACTGAAATAGTATGTTTTATAGCTCATGATCTTGAGTCAGCTTCAACTAGTAAATTAGTTTAAATCATGTACTTTGTGTTTCGTTCTTCTTCTTACATCTTTTGCTCAAAACAAGTGTCAATTCCTTTTCACTACTTCAGAAAGTCAAATTGAAAGATTACTGAAAACTTTTTTATTTTCTTCTCTCAGTAGACAATTAAGCCGGTATACGTATATACATGGTATATCATACAAGTATATTACATAGTTGCGGGCAGCAGCCAAAAAGTGCCGTATCTAAAGCAATATTCTCTTTTTGGAATTAATCTAATCCAGATGAGGATTTTGCACATGAAAATCCATTCATTCTCTCACATATTATGCTTGCCCCACGTGCCATACCTTCTCTAATACAATGTACATTTCAATATCATGCAATGAACAAAGACATTGACAATAGTGACGAGAGTTTCAATGAAGAAAAATATTTTATTTCATTTATTTGTACTAAGCTTACAAGTTCCTAACTAAAAGCAACAAAACACTTGCTATTATATATATATATATGGTATATATCCATACCACGTCTCAAAAGATATGCAATATTTGGGGGGGTTTTTTTTGTTCACCTTGACTTGATCACTTCTTCTTTCATGGCAAGAGAGAGAGCACTTAGACATCCACCGCTCTCCACCCTCACTCCCGGCATAGCAACGGCTCTACTCCCCACAAACCCACCTTCCCCAACCTTAATCTTCCCAAACTTTTTTTTTTTGTTCACCTTGACTGGATCACTTCTTCTTTCATGGCAAGAGAGAGAGCACTTAGACATCCACCGCTCTCCACCCTCACTCCCGGCATAGCAACAGCTCTACTCCCCACAAACCCACCTTCCCCAACCTTAATCTTCCCAAACTTAATTTTCCCTCCATCACCTTCGTACACGTGTCCAAACAACAGAGCCTCTCTTCCCACACACCCACCTCTCCCAATCTCCATCATCTCCGGGTTCAACAAAACCCCCATGGTGTCCACGTAAGCACCTTGGTCCCACTCAACATCCGACCCCATGAGCCTCATCCACACCAAAAACAGAAGGGACCCAGTTGTCATTTCCATAAAATATTCCCCTACTATTGTCCTAAAGGCCTGCCATGTTGTGTCCATGAATACCCATTTGCTCCAAATCATCATATTTTCACCCTCTTCCCTCTTTCCCACCAAAACCCACTTGGCGACTACACATCCCAATGCTGCCAAACAACCTGAAATCACCCAAAACAAGGGAATCAACCAATAAAGTGGGACCGCCTTTTGAGACTCCTTCAAGCACAAAACCCATTTCAATGGAGCAAAAATCACCAATCCCAAGAGGAAAAAAGGAAAGACTGTTTGTAGTAAAGGTTGGACAAAAGTTGCCCAAAGAGTTTGATCCCAAGTTCTTGCCAATGTCACTATTTCCTCATCTTTCTTATCCATTAATGTTGTTGCACTTGCACCCATTAATGGACAACCAGATAAATCAACCTTCACATCAGATTGTTCCAAGAACATTCTCCAAGCTTCCGGAAGAGGTTGGCCATTTCTCAAGTGTTGACAGATTTCATAGATCAATGAACGGCCGTGATCAATTGAAGCACTTTGAGAACATGACGTGGCGCGAATGACGTCAACTTCATGACTACGGAGGAAAGGATTGAAGTCAAGCTTTTCTGATTCTTCTGCGGACAAATTCTCACTGATGTTAATCTCACCAACATCAATGTATGGAAACTCAGTTTCATCCCATGGGTTGGTACAATCGAGTGCAAGTTCACGTGCGTTTTCATCGTCCGGAACCGGTCGGAATTGTAACTGAAACACGTAGCGGAGACCGGGTTTGGATTCCACGCGGCTGCGAAAATCGTCTGCAAGGAAGAGCAGAGGACGTGTGTCTGTTTCGTTTCTGGGAATTGCGCCGGTCTCCGGCGGGAGAATCCCGATAGGCTCAACCTTGCCGGAGCCTTCTCCAATGGTTTGATCATAAGGCCTTAGTTTGAACTTCACGTACATTTCTTGTCCCTCCGAAAACCGGAACAGCCTGCAGATGTTGGAGTAGTAATGCAGCTGCGTGTAGGAGTCTGCGTTTCGCAGCGATGTCCAGACTGCTTCGCGCACGTGAGGCGCTCGCTTGACGTGCTCTTCTCTCGCAGGAAGGCCGCACACCAGCCACGTCGCGAAATCGGAGATTGACCGGGCGTAGAATGCTTTGCCTGTCTTCAATGTCAGGTCAAGGAGGGTGGCGTCCTTATCGCTGCTTGGTTCATCTGAGAGTATTCGTATGGCTGCTCCACGCGCGTCGATTCTTGCGTCGTCATCAGCGCTTAGGCTGTTGCTGTGGCGGATAATGACAGGGTAGGTTTTGCCAGGGCTGAAGATTTTGTGATTGTTTGGCCAATTTATGATGTTGTCATAGATCTTCAAATGGCCTTTTCCACTAACACCAATTCTATGGAAGTATCTTGATTTGACTTTTAGAGTTGTGGCAGCCAAATTTGCAGCTAGATTTCCCACTATCTTCTTGTATTTCATGTCCATCTCTTCAATCCGGTCGTCCACAGAGTGCATTGTGTTTTTGATCATGATTGGAGCTTGAGAACCAACGTAAACGCCGCCTCTTTGAAGCACACAGTTTAATGGAGCAACTGAAAGTGCACCAAGAATAACATCTTTTTGGATTACTGAACCTGGAAGGACTAGGCTTTGACTCCCAATGACTGAATTATCCTGCACTTCGATTTTCCTTTTAATGAAGCCATTGGAAGAGTAAAATCCAGGTATGATTTTGCTGAAGTCGCCAAGATGAACACCGGAACTGATTGAGATCAACTTGGGTTCGGAAACCGGGTTGATTGCTCTGATGGAGCAATGTTTTCCGATTTTCGCACCCAAAAGGCGCAAGTACACGCAGAAGGCCTCTGTACCTGACAAGAGCTTGGCAAATCTGAGGTGGCAGGCGATTCTGATCCGATGGCAAAGCCAGGTTCTGAGATGGGATTCCTTTGTGTTTGGCTTGGAAGATATGAAATGGGTTGAAGCAGATGTGAGAAAGGTGAGTATTAGGCCATGAGCTAAGTAAGCAATGGCTATTGAGATGGCAAATTGGTATATGTTTGATGAGATGTTGGAAAACATGGTGGCATATGCAATTATGGTGTAAGGCATCCAGTGAAATGCTCCAAAGCTGCAGAGAAAAGTATATTCTTGTAGGGAAGGAGATTTTTTGGTAAGCCAGACGTAGATGAAGTACATTATGGCTGCTGAGAGAGAGCTGAGAAAGCCAACTAAGTAGATTCCCATGAAGTGGTGAATTGCCTCAGTTTGTGTTTTACTTGTATCATCTGGTATCAACGCACCCTGAAATTCATGAGGACTAATCCAAGTTAAAGTACATGAAAAAAATGACTGCTACATAAAAATATGACTCATGAAAATTTAATATGAGATTTAGTATCTTAAGAAAAAAGCAGAACATACCTTGTGAAGATTAGTACTGCGGAGAGATTTGATTGCAAGCTTGGCTCCATTCTTTTGCAAAGGCATGATCTCAAGGTCTTCAACCACAGAAATTCCATTTTGGATAACAGCATAAGGTCCAATACAAGAATTTCTGCCAATTCGAGTTGGGAAAAAACTTAAAATTCCATTCTTCACTTCATGACTCTGAATCAAAGCTCCTTCTGCAATCACAGATCCATCTCCAATCGAAACTAGAGATGGGTCTGTGATGTCAACCGTGTCAAGCAAAACTGAAGATCCAATCTTTGCTCCAAGCATCTCAAACCAACATTTCAAGAACACTGTTCCTCTCAGATGTTCTGCCAGAACCTTGGAAGAAACTTCTTGGGCTTTATAAAGTGCCCACCACTTAACAAAGTCCACTGACCAGATGGAAATTTCAGGGTTCAAGGCATAGTTTGGTCTCAAGAAAGAATTTCCAAGAAGAGAGAGGCAAATGCAGGTGAAGACAATGCAAAGGATCCAAGCAAAAGGTGAAAAAGTCAACGGAATCAAATAGTATAATATGGGATACCTTTCTGTTAATGGAAGGATGGCTGAGATGGACCACATGAGAGTAGAGAATGAAAAATATGCAGGAAAAACTAATAGGAAAGCAATATAAATTAGAGCTAGATTTTGGAGAAACCAGATACCCAATTGGCGAGACTTGGAAATTTCCATCACAGACTCAACAGAATCAATCTTAAGCTCTGAATCATAGGATAGAGAACTAGTGTTCATGTGTTCATGTTGGGACTTCAGCAGAAGATTTTCTGAGAAGTGTGCCAATTCTGCTATGCAAGTTGCTGTGAAAATATCTATAGCTCCAACTGGAACACCAAGAAAATCTGAAAGTTTTTGAGCAGCTCTAACCACTCCAATCGAGTCAATTCCATAAGAGACCAAGTTCTCAGTAGTAGAGATGTCGTTAATTGGTATACCAGTTTGCTCTGAGACTAGCCCTTTTAGAAACTCCACAATTTCTTTAATTTTCACTTTTGTAGGAGTTTGTATAGGGGAACTCACTAGCTGAGGCCGCGGCGTCTTTCCCTCCTTGCATGTACCGGTAGTGAAGGATCGAGTTAGGAACTTCTTCCGTATAATTGGCTCCGGTACAATATTGAGTGTTCCATCAATAAACTGTTTGAGGCACTCGAATCTCTTGATCTTTCCTGATGTTGTTTTGCTAATGGTTCGTGGCTTGATGAGCTTGACAGAAGCAACATTGACTCCATGTTCTTCCGCAACTCGGGTTTTGATCTTCTCAACCACGTCTTCACTGGCAGGCTTCCCATCTTTAACCTCAGCAATCACAACCAAACCAACATGGTCAGAGTTGTCTGGTACAGAAATCCCTTTGGCAGATAAGGTCTCCTCAGGAACACCAATAACGGCACAACAACCTGGACGTAGAAGCTCGAATGAACTCTCAACGGTCTTCTCTACATCAGCTGAGTAAATGTTTCTTCCAGCTACAATGATGAGATCTTTGATCCTTCCAGTGATGAATAAATTCCCATCAATTATTCGTCCCAAGTCTCCGGTTCTAGTGTATCTACGTCCATGATGGTTTTGGAGCTCATTTCCAAAAATGTTTTGGCTCAGTTCTTCCCTACCCCAGTATCCAATTCCAGAACTTGGACTACTAATCCAAATCTCTCCTTCTTTTCCATCCTCGTCCAGCTCTTCACCAATTTCCGGATCAACAATTCTGATATCCACGTCTGCGTCATTTGGATCCACATAACCACAACATACTCTTCCCTCCCAATCGACCAAGACAGGCCTTCCTTCTCCAAATGCGCAACTGACAAAGACACAGTTTTCTGCCAAGCCATAACCAGGTGCCATAACATCTTGAGACAGGCCGAAACAATTAGTGAGCTCAATAAATCTTTTCACAGTTTTCTGCCTCACAGGTTCAGCAGCAATCATGAGAAAAACCATGGATGAGAGGTCGAAAATATGATTCTTGTTCGATTCAAGCCTTCGAACCACTAGCTCAAAGGCAAAGTTGGGGCCAGCGCTGTGAGTAGCTCGGTACTTGCTCATGGTTTGGAGCCACAAGAGTGGATTCTTGATGAATGACAACGGAGAGAATAATATTGAAGAGGCACCACTGACTAGAGCTGTAAATAGTCCCCCAATCAGCCCCATATCATGGTACTGAGGAAGCCAACTTACTAATATTGTCTTTGAGGCGCTCTTGTATATTCTTCTCATCAGCTTCACATTATGAATGAGACCCCCGTGAGTTATCATGACTCCTTTAGCATCACCGGTTGAGCCTGATGTGAACTGCAAAAAGCTTACATCATCTGGTTTTGGTTCAGAATGATCAGCTTTTCCTTCTACAATTGTATTTTTAGAGTCCTTGATCCAAGAATCTGTGTGTAGCCATGGAAGATTAGGCCAGCGAGCTGTGGAGTTCCTGTTTTTCCCAGTCAAAGAAATTAGACTCTTCACCAATCCTGCGCGAACCGCGGAGTGATATCCGAGTGTCGATAGGATTGCCACTGCTTGACATGATTTAGCAATATTTTCAATCTTCATAAGCGCTTGGCCACCTCTTTGCATAGGATCAGGAGGAAGCACTGGCACTGGTAATACCTTGGCTCTCAAGCAACCGAAAAAGGCATCGATGAAGTCTAATCCCGGGACGTAGACCAATAGAACTCTGTCACCGGGCTTGATAACTGGCTTTTTGCTTGTCAAGAGCTTTTGAGCAGTGTAAGAAGCGTTATTATGGAGTTCTTTGTAAGTCCTGTGGCAAACCACCGCTCCTTCTTCATTTATCCAAGTATAAAGTGTCTTGTTTTGGGTAACTCTATGAGTTCCCCAATAATTCAAGTAGCAATCAAGTGAAGGTAGATCAGGAAATTCCACTCCTGGAAGTTCATCTAAGCTTTTAGGATTTCTTTTTTGGCATTTCTTTTTCAAGGGATTTAGACTCTGCAACAAGTCAAGCCTATACAGTAAGTCAATATATTCAAAAAAAAAAAAAAAAAAAAACCCAGCATCCATCAATCATAAAGTTATGTGACGACCGTGAGATTTACCTTGACATAAGGAAAGATTGGAGCAGAATCTTTAGATGCAAAGCGCTTGCAGATTAAGGCCATGGCATACGACGCATTTCTCTCGGTAAGTTCGAACGCCATAAGCCCGCCTACATAGTAAGTGTTCCTCAAGCCTTGAAGTTCATATTCCAATTTGTCATAGAAACCATTCTTCATATCTGTAATAAAGGCTTAACAAGTTAATAATATCCGTATTGTAATCTAGAGATATGGTAGTGGAAGCAAATCATTTTAATTAGTTTACCTTGGCTGCTAACATGGGGAAAATACTTGAATCGCCGTTGTAGAACCACCTCTTCAACTTGTCCCCCAATAGTCTTTACTGTTTCAATTGCTAGCTCAGTCACATTTGGTCCCTTAATGTCCACGGAATTTCCATATGACCAAAACAAGAAAATATCAGTGTCTGCATAAAATCTCTGCATTGCGACCGGGTATCCGATTTTTGAAGGATCATCCATGTAGTCACCAAAGTAATAGAAACCAATTGGCATATGATCTAGACCTTTGATCTTCATGACAGTGGTGTAGTAATCAATTGTCTTTACTTTACTGAACAACTCCTTTTCAAGATCACTCATATCTATTGCTTCAGTTTCATGTTCTGCTCAGAGAATTTCTTGTTAGCAAGAAAGGGAAAAGAGAGAAAAAGAGAAGACTAATAAGAAGGGGAGTAATAAACAGACCTGTAGAATTTGAAGGAGGTGATCTATAAACTCTTCCATTTTTAAAAGGAAAAGAGCCAGAGATTATGATCTTATCAAACTCCATGACTTTGAACTCTCCATTACAATCTCTCACATCAATTCGAACACCACTACAATCCCGTTTGACTGCTAAAACTTCAGTATTGCAGTAAACTTCAATTGGAAGTGATTCACTGATTTTTCTCCAAAGACTCGTATATCCGCCTTTAAAGCGCCGAATCTTTCCAGCCATGGACGTGCGAGTGAACTCATGAATGTAAGCATAAGGCATGTCTTGGACAAATCCATATCCAGA